TGGAAGTAAAATGTTTGTGGCAAAGGACATCCTCCCTTTCAGTGAGCTCCACCAGAGCTTTAGTTGATTGGGTAAGATAAGCAGAAAAAAGTATTCTTTCTTCAGCTTCCAAAAGAGGAAAACAAAAAGGGAAGAATAAGTTAATAAAAGGGCCTTTAATCGCTGTGTTTTAAAACCATGAGATCTCAAGGTCAGAAATGTTCTTAAAGTTCGTCAATTCTAGCAACTCAACTAGTGTTTCAATCACCCTTGCCTCATCTTCAGAAAGAAGTCACACCCCTCTACATGAACATTTCCAGTGATGTGGAACTCACTGCCACTTGACTATGTCAACCGCATCACTGCGTGGAGTGGGGAAAATGCTTGGGATTAGATGCAGAGGGCCAGGTATGTTTTCTTGACCTACCAGTTACTCGTGGTAAGACCTTGGAAAAATCATTTAATCTTACTGTTCCTTAGTTTACTCATCTGAAAATGGGAAAATAATAATAATGATAACAGTAAATACTAACCTCATCAGAATATTAAATTAAGTATTCAAAAATATTTTGTAAGCCATGTTATTTATAGATACAAATATTATCATTATTTTTAGGCTGAAAAGACTTTAGCTTCCTTAGTTCAATCTCTTTCAATTCCATACTTTGAATTCTAATTTCCTTAAGATGGATCAGAGAGAGGCTCCAGGAAGCACTTAAAAAAAAAGATATGCTTTCTTTAAAGTAATAGAGTTTCCTGGATGCCAAAAGATACTTTAAATTCTACTCAGAAACCATAACTTCAAGAAACATAGGTTGAGCCTCAATGATATTCATTAATTATGAAAGGAAAATAATAACTTTATAGTGGATAAACCCACTATACACATCTTAACCAAGTGATCGAGGTTAACACCACTAGTAATAAGACATGTAAATAGCATGAACCCACAATATAAGGCAGTGAAAGGACACATCATTTCTGTAGTACCAAAAAAGCAGATAGCAGTCTATTCATTTGGAAACATCAGGCAAAATACAACTGAGAGATGGTCTACAAAATAACTGAGCAGTATGCATCAAAAGTGGGAAGGTAATAAAAGCAAAGACTGAGAAACATTGGAGAAGAATAAAAAGAAATTAACAGCTAAATGTAATATGGAATCCTGCACTGGATCCTGGAACAGACAGAGGACATTATGGGGAAAAAGTGGTAAAATTTGAGTAAGGTCTGCAGTTTAGTTAATATCGTACCAATGTTTAATTTCCAGGTTTCGATAACTATGTTCTGGTTATGTAAGTTGTTAACATTAGAAGAGTTTGGGTGATAAGCACATGGAAACTCTACTATTTTTTGCAATTTTTTGGTAAGTCTAAAATTATTTCAAAATTAAAAGCTTTCTAAAACCTTGATTAAAAGAAAATCCTCAATATTAGCTGCTAAGATTATTGAAGTTTTCCAATTAATCAAGGAGGTAAATTAAAAGCTTACAGAACATTGTTACCTTGTTTCTCTCATTTCTATATTTAAGAATATAAACCTATATCAAAAGCATACAGCATTACTGAATTTTCATTAAGAATGTGTTTTCTGACACATTGAGATGCTTGAATTCACTGAAGAATTTTCTATTTAAAACAGTAGATAATTTTTTCCATAGTAATTTTTAATTTTGTCTGAAAATTTTCCACTGGATCGATTCTTTTCTATGCAGCTTTTCCAACAAATATTTTATTTCTGTCCATCTCAAATTTAGCCATTATAAGTTTTCTTTTGAGACTATTACTTTCAGTATCAATATTTTCCTGGCTATGGTTTTATTTAGTTTTGGTTTAATTTTATTAAATTAAATTGAACTCTATTAAGCTAGTACAATTAATAATCATGTTTAACTCTATTAAGACTAACTTTCCTCAAGCCAAATATTGTTTCCTACAGTCAGAAATAGTATGTGATTTTTAGTTTATCACCTGTATATGTTTACCAGTGCCATTTTAGTTTTAGCTGCTTTAATTTTTTGTGTGTATACAAATTATTTCCACCCATAATAGTACTGTAAACTAACTCTCTGTGTCACTGACAAATGAAAGGACATTTAAAATCACTCAATAAATACCAACTAAGCACCTGCGCTATACTCCAGGTGTGTTCTGAATGCCGTGAGTGGACAGGCAAGAATCCTGCACTCATGGGGCTCACATTCTAGTGACAGGAGACAGAAAGTAAAAATAAACAGACACATGTGATCTTTATGGTGATAAATTCTAGGAGGAAAATAAAATACAGTAAAGGGATAGAAAGTAACAGGAGTGAGGATTACTTCACATGTTTGTATTCAGGGTAAGACTGTGAGGAGGTGAAACTGGAGCTGAGACCCAAAAGATGAAAAGGAGCCAGTCATGTGGAGAAGGTATCTCTTCACTGCAAAGGCTGTGAGGAAGGGATGAGTTTAGTTTATTTAAGGAACACAAAAAAAGGCCTGTGAGACTGAAGCATGTGATCAAAAGAAAGAGGTTGAAGTACCAGGCATGGAAAGTCTTTGGGGCCATATTGAGGACTTTGGATTAAAGTGATTTTAAGGAGGAATTCAATGTTGTATCATTTTTATTTTTTTAAAGAAATAATCCTGGCTGCTATGTAGAGTCAGAACAGAGGCTGGAAAACCAGATGAGTTTGGAAGTCACACCAGAAGTCCAGGCAAGAAATAATGGTGGCTTGGATCAGAATAACAGTGAAGAACATGAGAACTGGTGGAATTAGGAATATGGGGAAGGGGACAGAGCCACAGAACTTGCTGGTATGATTGAACATAGGGGTAAAGAGAAGAGAGAATCAAAAGATGATACCCAATGATAGCCAGATTTTTGGCCTGAGCAACTGGGTGGATAGTGATATCATTACTTAGTTGGGAAAGCCTAGGAGAGGTTGAGATAGGAAATGATGAGGTATGGGGATCAAGGATTCTGTTTTAGACACATTGTTCAAGTTGTCTAACCAGTAAGCTTCTTATATATTTCCAGTAGGCACTGGACACATGATCCTGGAACATGAAAAAATAGGGAGAGAAAAGTCCATGTCAATAGTTAAAATTTTCATAATAATAATCATAGATCCAGAAGTCAAGAACAATATTCATAAAGCGAAATTAGTAACCTAAACAAGATAGGAAACAGGACAGGGGGTAGAAATCAACAAATTCAGAGAACTCTTGTTGGACAATGTGCTAGGCATTGGGGGCCATGCAGAGGGGATCTAACTGGTAAACTGAGAGTCCAAGTGTTTCAGAGATTTGTCCAACACCAAGTAACTCTTAAGCAACGGAAAAAGGGCTTGGACCTAGGTCTCCTGACTTAACTTCTAAAGTCCTCTCTTCTATATAATACTGCATAAGCAGTGTTATAAAATTCTAAGATTTAGGAAATTTAGTATTGAAATTCTAGTATTTAGGAAACAATTCATGTTCCTCATTTGAAAAAGGGGTAGAGAAAATACTGAACTCAGTAATTTTTCAAACCATGTTCCTTAGAACACTTGATTTCTTCATAGGTATGTGACCACATATAATTTATCATTTAAATCTGGATTCTTTTGAAAAGGAAATAGGTATCATTGTCAATAATGTTGGTACCACAGGTATGTGAGGGTTTGGGAAGAGGATGTGAAAATAAAGGCAAAAGCCAAGCAGGTAACCTGCTTCATTTCTTTCAGTCATGTCAGTCAGAGTTACTATATTTTTTATCGGTTTTATATATTTGGGGTCCAAGTAAGATTTTATTTACTTGGAACTTTGAGTTTTTGGGTTTTGTTTTAAATGGAAACCACTGGACTGAGATTCCCTAGGAAACTCTGGCTCTGACAGTCCAAATATCTCTATGGCACCTGCTCTCCTATTTGTCTTTCAAAACCCAGCTCACATCCTCTCTCTTCCACTATGCCTTCCCACATCTCAAGGTAAAAATTAACCTTTTCTTCTATTACATTTCACTTATACCTCCACTCAAATAGACAAGTGTGGCTGTCTGTACAACTAAATGAAGGTTTCTCCACCTTGGGGCTGTTGTCATTTGGGGCCAAATAGTTCTCAGCTATGGGGGAGAAAGTTTTCTGTATTTTAGGACTAAGCAGTGTCCTTAGTATATATCCACCAGAAGCCAGCAGCACCCTCACCCCATATGTGACAACTAAAAGTGTGTCCAGGAGCAAAAATCACCCCTTATTGAGAACCACTAAAGTAAAGGAAATATAATGTGATGTAACATAGCATTAAGTTGCAACCATGGCACTAACTAAGCTGTGTGCCCTTAAACAAGTTATTCAACCTGTCCACATTTTATAATTTCTTTTCTACAAAATAAGAATATCAATAGCATCAAACTCATATGGCGATTGTAAAGATGAAATGAAATGAAGGGTTTGTATATAAGGTGTGCGTGTGTGTGTGCACTCATGAATTGCAGGTAAGGTTAGGAAAGTGGAATGAGATGAGGCTAGAATTTGGAGTCATATTACAAAGGCCATATAGGAAGCTTGTTGCCAATAATCAATAAATATTAGCTGATTTTATCATCATGGACATCATCATCATCATTATCATCATCATCGAACCATGATCTCCTAAAAGCCAAAATGCAGTTCATCACCACATTTCTATTGCCAACACCCTCTGGTTTATTAGGATGCCTTTTCATAGATCAATACATGTTTGTCAAATTGGATTATTGAATGCTTTCTCAGTCCTCATCATAAGCTTCATTCCATGAGAATTCTCTGTGGCCTTAGAAATCTAAGTGCTGGAAAGAAAAAGTTGACACTATTCACACTCAGTGAACTTGGCGTTTCATTACAGTCAGATGCACTTTATTTACAGTCATTTCTGGGAGCCCTTTCAAATATGGGAGGGGGGGGTGCTTACAGAGAGACAAGCAGTGCATTGAAGGAGAGGCAGACAAAAGGCCAAGTCCCCAAGCTGGCTCTTGAGCATTTCAAGCACCTGAACTCAATTTGTGTGACAGGAACGCTGTGTCATCTGATATGAATGCCACCAGCCACATACTTTTCTCTAAAAGCTTTTATACACCCACCTCAGTCTCCCTCTTTTATTCTAGTCTCAAAACGGAGGGTCAAGTTTTAACAACTCCGGTTACACAGGGGCTGTGTGTCGGTTAGGGTAAAGTACAGCAGTGTGCCTCATGGGGGTGGGAGGTGGGGTGGGTGGCAGGCAAAGTATTCTTTTTTACTTTATAGCAATGATTTACCAGCTGAGTGCCTGGGCCCCTGGTTTGCTTCAGGTGCTGTCTGCCAGCAGTTCACTGCCTAGAGTCTCAGTTTTCCTTATTACAACCACCACTTGCTTCCTGTTTACACTGGGTAAAGAGACCGGGTTTCATGCCTGCAGGCCCACATTCCTCAGCTGAGCAGGTTTTCCAAGCCTTCGGGCTACAGGTTTCAGCCTCTTTGTGTAGGGACGGAAGCATCCTGAGCTAAAGAGCAAGTCGATCCAATACCCAATACTTGAAACCACTTGGGAAGTCATACTACAGGACACAATGTGTAAATCATCCTTGCACATTTTACCTGTAATTATCTTTACAGAGGCACTGGGAATGTGGGTGAGTTCATGCGCATAAATGGAAATGAGAGGATGAAGCAGAAGCTACTTCTTTCCTACTACACAAGAGGTTTCTACACATCCTAATTTCCATCCTCATTCTATTTGCTCCTCCAAGCCTCCTCTCCGAACACGTAGATACACACACAGACACATGCATGGACTTCAACCCCAACTAAACTGAAATGTCTTCATTGGAGAACATTTCATACACCTTTGCAATATGCAGCTTTTAACTATGTTTCCTTTACTTAAAATGCCCTTTTCTCACCTTCGTTGATGCTTACATCACTCATACCTTGAGTTTCACATCAAATGTCATCACACCTTGTAGAGCTAGGGCTGGGTCTGGAGCTCACAGACCCCTCAAGCCCATTGTCCAGACTGGGTTACAAACCCTACACATGAAGGTCTACGAGCTAGGTAGCCAGAAGAAAGGTCCTTGGAGCCTTGGTTGAAGAAAGAGTAGTCTTTATTTCTGCACACACAGATCTAGGAGCTAGGCAGTCCAAAAAGAAACTCAGAAACTCAACCACTGCCAGCAAAGTCCAAAGAAAACTGAGCAGCTGCCAGCAAAGTAAACATGCTCTATTTTTAGACATGAGTTCTGCCAGCCAGCGCTGCTTCATACAACTCTCAAACACACAATAGCAGCAAAACTAAAAAGACACATTGGCACACACATGCACTAACTCCACCCCCACACACAATTTGTTTACAAAGAATGTGCTGCACCACACCCAACTGTACCTGAGGTGAGGGGGCCTGATTTTTTATTGTATTTTCCCCCAAATCCACCACTCCAGGGTCCCTCACTGTACAATCTATGCATTCAGAATCTTCTGCGATATTCCCTTAGCAAGGATAAATGACCCTTACATTCATGTAACCTATTGTCCATTCAATACGCCTTAAGGCTTGTCCTTAAGGCTTGTAGTTCTGTATACCTCTTAACTTGCGGATTTGTCTGTTCCCTCTTCTGGGCTCCCATAACACCTTGTGAATCCCTCTACTAATGGTCTTAGCACATTAAGTTATTATTTATTAACTACCTTTCTGCCTCCTACTTGTACATCATAAGTGTCTGGAGGGCAAAATCTGTTTTATTTTTCATGGTTTTCCAAGTTACTAGCACATTGATCATCATGTAATATTCAATACCAGGTAAGAACTCAATGAATATTTGTAATTTACATGTAAAAGGAAACCAAGGAACTAAGAATACAAAGTTAAACTTGATTGCTAAAACATTGGTTCACTTTTATGATTTCCTTGAAAAGATGGGTAAGAATGCCAGGAGACAGTAAAAACGGCTGTTCTGCAGATCACTTTGATTTGACTGTAGAGCATTCATGATGGATTTGCTACCATTCACATGCTCTGGGCGCAGTCACTAGTCTTTCCCAGAAGTATTCTTCACATACTCTAGGAATATAGCAAAGCAGTGGTTAATAAAGGAAATACAAGGCTACACGTTGTAAATACAAAGTGAATTAAACCATTGAGGATAACTGAGCCAAGCTGCAGTGTGTCATATCGTATCATATCACTGAATATGAAGGTACACAATCTCTCTCTCTCTCTCTCCCTCTCACACACACACACACACACACAAATTCCTTCAGGTTTATACCCTTTTCTCTGGGCATTAGCAAATTCTTCAGATGTGGACATAGAGCTGTTATGGTATGACCATAGTCAATTCACTTAACCCCTCTGATTAAGTGCCCTCATTTTTAAAATGAAGATAGCTATCCCAACCTTACAAGATTTTTGTTAGTTGAATTATATGAAGATTATTATTTCAAATTGTGATCAATAAAATACAATTATATAATAGTACGAGATTATTTTTGTCTTCTAATAGTAAAATCAATGCCAAAAACCTACTATTTTGTATTCTTACAATTGTTTTACATGAGTAATGCAACGTATGTGTATAAACATATGGAAAAAGGTTGGTGAGGCAGGGACATAAGCAAGACTGTTTGGAAAGAAGCCATTTGACCACATTTGCCAAGTGTCAAAGGGGTGTAGAGTTAGTGAGATGGATAAAAGGAGATATAACGTATTTTGACATAGTACTGAATAAATTTGATGGTGATTTTGTAGATGAATGTTAACAGACTTAGTAATAAATTTGAATTTGAATGCAATTGTATTAATTAATCCTTCTTCCTTAGATACCTTCCTGACCAACTTGCTCCTTGACTCAGCTTTGGCTCATTGTTTTATGACCTAAACCTATATCACCAGCTCAGCTTTCTCTAGTGAGATTCAGACTTAAATTTCTAGCTGCCTGAAAATCAATGCAACCCCAAGTTCTATGAACATTTCAAACTCAATGTACCCGAAACTGAACCCCTAAACCTATTCTTCTTCCAGTTTTTTCCATTCAAATTAATGAAATCACCATCTACTCAACCCAGAAACCATGTCATCTTTGACTTCTCCATCATCTCCATATCCTGCCAGTTACATGATTCCATTAATTTTATATCCTGAAAAACTCAAAATTTCCTCATCTTCTCTCCCTTTTTACTGCCTGTAACTTAGTTTTGGCTCTTATATCTATTATATGAGCTATCATAATTATAGTGGGAAATATGCAAGATTAAACTCCAGCTACACTGAATTTTCTTTATCTAAGAACACCATACACCTTCATGTACGACTACTGCTTTTCAAGTGATTCAAACTTCTGTTTTAGTCAATTAGTACTAATTTAAAAATCTTTCCATTTTTATCTGCCTCCTCTGTTAAGCAATGACTTCTACAAAGACAAGGATCTTGTCTCATTTATGTTTGTATCTTTAGCAATAATCATAATACCTGCACTTTGTAGGTGTCAGAAAATGTTTGTTGAATAAAGGAATTCTAGGGGCTGTAGAAGAGACTCTGGGTAAGAATAAGAGTAAAGATTTTTAATGTATTTTTTAAACAATAAGTTATACCATTAGATTGTAAATAATTTGAAAATTTTGAATGTTCACAATTCAGCTCTACATTATTCTCTCCCTGTGCCACAATAGGTTTGTTAAATTGAACTAAATTGCTTCAGGTATTTGGTTTAATAATGCATTTTCCCCATATTCTTCTATGTTTTCCTATTTTATTCTTAAGAGAGATGGAAAAGCCAGTTTATAACACCCATTTAAAATCTTATGCCAAAATATTCACATAAAAGAGATTCTAGATCCCCCCGATTATCTTTCTTTTTATTTATTCTTTTACATTAATATAACTGAGTCTTAATCAAAGCCAATCTTGGAAAATGTCCTAAACACAAACAATATTGTGACATAAAAACCAACAACAAAAGAGAAACTAAGACTCAAAGAACTGGATCAAAGTCCTCATCATCTCACATCTTAGATGGAGATCATTTGTTTTCTTAAAGAGCTGGGACTTGGGGTGGCCTTTGAATAAGAAATGACTTGACAAATGAAAGTGTCAGACTATTGCCAGGAAAGAAAAAAAAGGCTTTGAAATAATAATTTAAGGAGAAAAGCTTTAAAGGAAATACACTTAACAGATCCACAAAGTAGTCTGATTGACTGAAAACCAACCAACCAACCAAATATCCATCATTTTGCGCACGCATGCACGTGCGCGCACACACAAACACACACACAACCCTCCTCTGTTCTTACTTTCATCCAGTAAGAGCTATACAACATCAAGTTTCCCTTTCACCTTTGCCATGAAATGAGTAGGGCAAAATTTAATGCTCTAGTCTACTCACTACATTCATTATTTGGGGAATAATTATCCCATACCCCCTTCAATATTTTGCTTTTCATATTTCTTTTGAAATTATTTGACTGTATTTATATGCAGCAGAATAAAATAAGACACTATCATGTATTAGAATGAGTCAGTGACATTCCTCTGTAGTTCTTAGAACTTGCTCTTTAATCCCTCACCCTGAATTTCTTCCAGCAAAGAACACTCAGGGAATAAGTACCTAATGCACCAAGTATGAGGAATAAGAAGACTTGGCCCAGGAAGTGATGGATGTAATAACGAAAGCAGTTGGTATTTATTTTGACTTTCAATAAAATGCAATTACCATTAATTTAAAAGCATATATTATTTTAATGTTTAGAACAAGATTTCCTTTGCAGGAGGGAAATGTCTTTGGGAAAATAAGTTATCAAGCTCTTTGACTTGAATGAACAGATTTTAAAACATAAACAGCTCTGCATTGTTGATAATAATAAAAAACAGGAGTTTGGAGAGGCTCAAGGGGAGGATAGAGAGGAGAGAGGATTATGAAACAATGTGTCAGAGTATTATTATTAATAAATAAACGAACTTTTAAAAACAGGGAGGTCTGATATTGCATTTGAATTTAGCAGCATTAGTATGATACAAACGCGCAGTCTATCTCCCTGAAGCCCTCAGTGGGTCTACTCTCACATAAATGCCTGTGTGTCAGTGTTATGTTATTCTTATTGGTTTTCATTTTGTTTTGTTTTGTTGGCTTTGGGTGGTAAAGAGTCAGGCTAGAGGCTGATGTTGATGCTCAGGTTGAGGGACTATGAAATAGGAGTATCACATGAAGAGGAGCAACAAGATCCATACGTTGGGATAATATTGTAGTAATTTAGTATTTACTATGATAGCTTGAAGCCCAAGGTAAACCATGATACTGTAAGCCCCTAAGAACATTTGTGTAAATCTTGAGAGGACCATTGGCTTTTCCTGGGAATAGAATGGGACTTAAGCCAACTTCACCTGTACATCAGAGGGAATGAAAACTCCATCTAGCCTCTAATCACATTTATGTTATCTCAATTTTTTTAAATAGGAGACCTATCAATTTTAAATACTTGTTTACATACAGATATATACACTTGCATAAATAGATGCATTTAAAATAATGCAAGAAGTGGAATGTATGAGATCCAACCACAGACAGACTTTAAATGCAGATTTCCAGTTTTGAATTTATATCGAATAGAGTTGCAACATTCTAAAATGAATGATAGAATAGAGGCATACCTCTGAGATATTGTGGGTTCAGTTCCAGACCACTGCAATAAAGGGAAAATTGCAATAGAGCAAATTGTACACATTCTTTGGTTTCCCAACTCACATAAAATTGTGTTTACACTATATCATAGTCTATTAAGTGTGCAATAGCATTATGTCTAAAAAACAATATACACACCTTAATTTAAAAAATACTTTATTGCTAAAATATGCTAACAATAATCTGGACCTTCAGTGAGTCATAAATTTTTGCTTGTGGAGGGTCTTGCCTTGATTTTGAAGGCAGCTGACTGATGAGGGTGGTGGTTGGCGAAAGTTGGGGAGGCTATAGAAATTTCTTTTTTTTTCTTTTTGGCAGATGGCCAATACAGGGATCTGAACCCTTGGCCTTGGTGTTATAACTCCATGCTCTAACTAGCTGCAATTTCTTAAAATAAGACAAAAATGAAGTTTGCTGCATCAACCGACTCTTCCTTTCATGAAAGATTTCTTTGTAGTATGTGACACTGTTTGATAGCATCTTTACCCACAGTAAAACTTCTTTCAAAATTGAAGACAATCCTCTCAAACCCTGTTGCTGCTTTATGAACTAAGTTTATGTATTATTCTAAATCCTTTGTTGCCATTTCAACAATTTTCACAGAATCTTCACCAGTAGATTCCATTTCAAGCAGCCACTTTCTTTGTTCATTCATAGAAGCAATTTCTCATCTGTCCAAGTTGTACCGTGAGATTGCAGCAATTCAGTCACACCGTCAGGCTCCACTTCTAATTCTAGTTTTCTTGCTACTTCCACCACACCTGCAGTTACTTCCTCCACTGATATCTTGAACCCCTCAATATCATCCATGAGGGTTGGAATTAACTTCTCCTAAACTTCTATTAATGTTAGTAGTTTGACCTTATCCCATGAATCACAAATGTTCTTAATGACATCTAGAACTCTAAAACCTTTCCAGAAGGTTTTCAGCTTCGCCCAGATCCACCAGAGGAATCACTATCTATGACAGCTGTAGCTTTACAAAATATATTTCTTAAATAATAAGACGTGAAAGTCAGAATTACTTCTTGATCCATGAGCTGCAGAATGAATGTTGTGTTAGCAGGCATGAAAACAACATTAGTCTCCTTGTACATCTCCATCAAAATTCTTAGGTGAGGGCTGAGCCCGTGGCACACTCGGGTGAGTGCAGCGCCGCCGTGGGTTCGGATCCTATATAGGGATGACTGGTGCGCTCACAGCGCTCACTGGCTGAGCGCGGTGCAGCCGGTCTCAAAAAAGGACAAAAAAAAAAAAAATTCTTAGGTGATTAGGTGCATCATCAATGAGCATTAATATGCTGTTTAAAATTTTTTTTCTGAGCAGTAGGTCCCAACAGTGGGCTTCAAATATTCAGTGAACCAGGCTGTAAACAGAGGTGCTGTCATCCAAGCTTTGTTGTTCAATTTAGAGAGCACAAGCAGAATAGATTTAGCATAATTCTTAAGGGCCCTAGGATTTCCGAAATGGTAAATGAGCATTTGCTTCAACCTAAAGTCACAAGCTGCATTAGCCCCTAACAAGAGAGTTAGCTTATCCTTTGAAACTTTGAAGTCAGGCATTGACTTCTCTACCTAGAAAAGTCCTAGATGGCATCTTCTTCCAGTAGAAGGCTGTTTCACCCACACTGGAAATCTGTTGGTCGGTGTGGCCACCTTCATCACTGATCTTACCTAGGTCTTCTGGATCACTTGCTGTACTTGCTGCTTCCCCTATACTTCTACGTTACAGAGAGAGACAGCTTCTTTCCTTAAACCTCAGGAACCCAACCTCTGCTAGCTTCAAACTTTTCTTCTGCAGCTTCCTCGCCTCTCTCAGCCTTCACAGAATTGAAGAGAGGTAACCCTGGCTCTGGGTTAGGCTTTGGCTTAAGGGAATGTCGTGGCTGGTTTGATTTTGTATCTAGACTACTAAAACTTTCTCCATATCAGCAACAAGTCTGTTTTGCTTTCTTCTAATTTATTTACTGGTGTAGCACTTTTAATTTCCTTCAAGAACTTCTCCTTCGCATTCACAACTTGGTTAACTGTTTGGCACAAGTGGCCTGGCTTTCCACCTATGGCAGCTTTCAACATGCCTTCCTCACTAAACTTACTAATTCCTAGCTTTTGATTTAAAGTGAGAGATGTGCAACTCTTTCTTCTACTTGAAAACTTAAAGGTCATTGTAGGGTTATTAACTGGCCTAATTTCAATACTCTTGTGTGTCAGCAAATAGGGAGGCCTAAAGGGAGGCAGAGAGATGGGAAACAGCCAGTCGGTTGAGCAGTGAGAACCCACACAACATTTATGGATTATGTTTGCCATCTTATTTGGGTGCGGTTCATGCACCTCAAAACAATTACAATTGTAACATCAAAGATCACCAAACAGACACTAATAATGAAATGTGACACAGACACATGAAATGAGCACATGCTGCTGGAAAAATGGTGCCAATAGACTTGCTTGACACGAGGTTGCCACAAACCTTCAATATGTAAAAAGGCAACATCTGCAAAATGCAATAAAGTGAGGAAAAATAAAATGAGGTGTGTATAATGACAACATTAAACACACACACACACACACACACACAGAAGGTAAAATTTTCTAGACCTATTAGCACACTCTCATGTGTATATTTGGTTTTGTTGAAAATATAAAGTTTGATCTTTATAATTCAATTCACTGCATTTTCAGCTCCAACTGTTCTACTTCCTGACTCCTTAGAGTGCACCAGCACTGCTTAACATACCTGAGGGATGGCAGAATAGTAGAAAGCACTGCCCCTGACAGCTACAAGCTTAAAATCTGCCTGATGAAATGAGATTTAAGTACATAAAAATAATCTTAACTGCTTTACACTTTACGGAATGTTCACGCACACATTAATTATCCCATTTTAGCCTTACAATGGTCCAGTGAGGCTGGGAGAAGTGTTCATTATCACCATTTTAGAGATGAGACAACCCAGGCATGGAGGGAGAAGCAACTTAATCCAATATGACTACAGAGCCACATCTGACTAAATGTCCTTACACTTATACCATACTTCTTCCCTGAATAAAATAATTAGAATGTTTAATTATATATAGAAAGTTATGTACACCCTGTAAGCAATAAATGCAGTCACACAAGCACAAGTGTTGAATTTTTTTTAAAAATATTGCACCAAAAGAAAATAGCAAGAGGAGGAGAGAAGCATGTTATGGTTAATATAAAATATTATGTATATCTTTTTTTTTTTTTTTGTCTTTTCCCGTGTCCGGCAACGGATCGCAACCCTCAGTGTTGCCCCCGCACCGGACCGGGGACCGGCAACGGGACGGCAACCCCCGGCGTGGATACCCCGACCCGCCGAGCGCGCGGGCGCGCGACC